ATATCCATTAATATTTAAACATGGTTTAAACATGTCCATAACCACATACATTTAAACCTTTCCCAAACGGCCATCCTCCCTGGACCTTGTGACTGTGTGTCAGGTCATAAGCACAAACAAGTGACAACACTAGTTCCATTGTTACTCCTATCTCCACACAGCCGCAATGAGAAACAACATGGGTCTATACAGATCCTTATCTGTTCCTAAAGTTTCATCTCCATCACATGTCGTTGTCATACCCAGACCAGCTGCAGGGAATTAGATAGATAATTTCATTCATCAGAAGTACAGCATTTGCACTAAAGAAATGTCTCTGCTCCGTTTTAACCCTTCAATTGGTTCCTAATCCATAAGCATTTAAGGCATATAGGCATTTCATTCTACAACATGCATAATTCATATAGTTGTTTTTTATGTTGTCTGGCCCTAAGTGAGATAGAGTAGTTAACCAAAAATGACCCACATATCCCCCCTTTGGGACTTCCTAATTAAGGCCCATATCATTACACCCAAACACTGCAAATGTATATAGTAACAAATATATGAATACATGGATATGCAGTGACTAACATAAAAATCAACATGTTTAGATATAAGGCCCAATTCTTGCATCAAGGTTATATTTTTAAAACATTACTTATTCAAACAGTGACAATATAAATGTTTCTACTTGAAATAAACATAAGTGTTGCTACTTAAAATATTAACCTATGAGTGCAGCTTTGTTTTAACCATAATATCTATTTAAGGCAGTTATCTTGCAGTTGCATAAGCAATACATAAAATACTAAATATTCTTCTTCATAATATCATCCCTTATGTTTTACAAAGGCTAGTAATGCTTGCTCTCCCTCTCGGACACCTCCCTAATAACCATTTTCTGAATCTAAGCAGAACCTGTTTAGGGGATTAAGAGACATGTCCATGGACACTTGTAACCGGACACCCTATGTTACATGCATATACTACATAGAGAAAACATGAGAGAGGCCTATTCTATCTTTTTAGGATTCCAGGTTTTCCCTAGGCGTCCTATATAGGACTCCTAATTCCAACCTCAGAATCAATTTAAATGTTGCCTCACCTACTTTCCTTAATTACTGCTTGTAATCTTTATCACTACTAAAGTAATATGGAACAGGATATCAATCTGAAAGATTGATATCGCCAAGTCCAATTTTCTTCAGCTGTTGCCTGTCCTCCTCCTGCCACTACACCATACAGACATTCTGGGTTGCCATAAGGGCAATCAAGTGGTCCTTATTGTTGTGAGGGCCCAGCAGGGCTCTCTTCTGATAATGACCATCTGCTTCTGGGCCACTACTCCGGGCCGGCGTTGGTCCCTTTCGCTCAGGACTCCCTCTACGACGACCATCTACTTCTGGGCCACTACTCCGGGCCGGCGTTGGTCCCTTTCGCTCAGGACTCCCTCTACGATGACCATCTACTTCTGGGCCACTACTCCGGGCCGGCGTTGGTCCCTTTCGCTCAGGACTCCCTCTACGATGACCACCTACTTCTGGGCCACTACTCCGGGCCGGCGTTGGTCCCTTTCGCTCAGGACCTTCATTCGTCACTAGGGTCTCGGCATCCTCAGCTTCCTCATCTCTGATCGTCGGTTTCCATGCGGTACTCTGGTGCAGTGGTTTAGATGAAACCAGGTCGAACTTCCCTCTATCCTTACGGCAGTTGGTGTAGCCTAGAAGAAGGCGTAGGGCTCCTCACGTCTCTGTTCATTCCACTTCCTTCTAAAGACCTTGACGTAGACCTTCTCCCCCGAGACCACTGGTCGTGGTGGATTCACCTCTGGTTTTAGAACTCTGCTTCTCTCCTGTTGGTATAAAACTTCATGTATAACAGTTAGTTGCCTGATATACCCTTCTAATTCCCTTTCCAATTGCTATAGAGGCGGACCCTCATATGGTCCCCTAAGCACCGGCACAGGCATGTCAACCCGTAAGCAATTCATGCGGTGTTAGATGCGTTATTCTTTTAGCTTGCATGCAATAGCTCATTAGTGTCAGAGTTGAGACCCCAAAGAACAAAACAACACTGTCTGTTAAATCAAAACACCAAATCAAATTAGAATAATAACCCTTGATAACACCTTAACTTACTTGTATCTCATAAAGTCATTCAAGGAATAATAAAATGTATTATCGACAGATGTCCCTCATTCAGAGTTAATTCTCTTTCTCTGTCCTTGTTATGGTATGAATTATACATAGGCCTATTGCTAAATTATAAACTTCTTCCTAATTATTAGTATTTTCACACTACATATCAATCTCACACAATGTCTCTAGCTTTCTAGGGAGGGTGATCAGGCCCCACCAGAAAGTCAGAACAAAGGCCAGATGTCAGTCAACCCCATGTAAATGAATGTGTCTTTCCATTTCCTTCCCCTTTATCTAAGATATTATTTAATGATATTTTCAACATTTCAAACATTTTGTGTACCAAGATTTAATTTGGTAGCTCCCTCTTACGGCCAAATTTTACTCACTGCTCTCCTCAGCTCAGACTCAGGAAACATTCCAAAGAGAGATAATGAAACACCAATTATCCTGGAAAAGAAAGTGTACATTTCTTTAACATTCACTATAGTACATCTTAATCAGCCCCCCGAATGTTTTAACTACAACCAAAACATGAAGATAATTCCACTGTACTCCATCAAACTAGTAATTGTTTGTTTCAATCGAATTCCTTGTTTATATAAACTGCTGTCCTTCGTAAGTAAACGCAAACAAGTGTCTACTTTCTTATGCTAAAGTTACACTAAGAAATGCTCCACATAAGTCTATTACTGAGAACCATTTTGCATCTGGTGGAAGGTTTGTTAACCGTGTGTGTGGATTGGGCACTTCTGCTTTATCCTGAACTACTTCATTTACTGCTCTCAGGTCATGAACCAATCACCACTTATGTTTGTCTACCTTTAGTACTGGTAAACAGCGGCCTTTTACAGTCACTCTGTTTTAACCAGTACTCCCCCCTTGGACACATGATTCACATCGTGATTCATGCGTTCAAAAAACTAAACAACAACATTGGCTGTCATCCCTTGGCCACTAAATGTTTTATGAACCAGGTCTGTATGAAATCAGATCCTAGAGCATATTGTGCTTCCATTGGTGAACCTTGTTTTCCTATTACAAAATATTGCAATCTCATGGAAGCTGGTTAACCTCATGCCTTCCTTAACCATAATTGTTCTAGCAAATTATTTTGATATGAATAATATTGCAGTGTACAATGATAGCCTACTTTTGGTTCTTTCTCCTTCTCTCTCTTCTTTTTTCTTTTCTCTCCTCTCTCTCCTGTCTTACAGTTTTTTATTAGGGTATCCATTTCCTCACACACTGTTACATCAGACGTTCCTTCCTTTTAATATTATTTTATTTTCTTTATCTTCTACCTAGATTCCTATTATTACTATTATCTTAGTATCATTATTGGATCAATGACATACTGTAGGTAATAGCTGTTTTGCATTAGCTTGTGCTTTTTTCTGATAATGTTATAATTGTAGCCTATTGCATTAATTTAGTTTAAAATATAGCACAAAGAGTTGGTGCTGTCCCATCAGCGTAATAGTCAAAGCTACCTGCAATCCACTGTTCCACGCAACAAATACAAATTATCGTTTTGGAATTCATTAACTATGTTGCATATGTCACTGGTGTTACGCAAACTATAGAATAAAGTAATAACAATTAAAATTTGTCGAAGAAATGTTTTCCATTCAACTATTCAGTCAGACTTCTGCTTAAAATGTCCCTTTCAGCCCGATACAGTCTAGCAAGTATGACTCTCTTTTACCCGCGAACTAGAACATGGCATTAGTAAAGTCTATTCACAAACCACCCATAACTAATAGTATATCAGAAGTACAGCATTTGCACTAAAGAAATGTCTCTGCTCTGTTTTAACCCTTCAATTGGTTCCTAATCCATAAGCATTTAAGGCATATAGGCATTTCATTCTACAACATGCATAATTCATATAGTTGGTTTTTATGTTGTCTGGCCCTAAGTGAGATAGAGTAGTTAACCAAAAATTACCCACAGTTTCCTCTTCTTTATGTCTTTTATTTGAACCCTGATGTTTGAGGACAGTTGTGTATTACATTTCAGCCTTTACACAAGACAATGTTCTAAAGCAGGTCTTTTTTAATAGTTTTTTATTTTATTTATTTGTTCTGGTAGAATTTTTATGGAGAGAGTACAGCAGGCCTTAGTATTCGGCAGGCCTTATAACAGGAGAATATCAAGCATACGAGTCCACACTATTCTTCCCATCTGCGTACTACAGAGAACCCTTCAAGCTAGAGATAATATTCTAAAGGAAATGAGCACTGTCCTTTTGGAATTTAACACCCAGTAAGGAAGATCTTAAGCCCGCCTGCCTGCGCGACCAATCGGTGAGATGGAGCCTGTATTCCCATGTGTCAATCATCTAACACCCTTAGCAGAGTTTGCCAATAACAGGATGCATCTGGTTTTCAGAGATACAGCTATCCTTAACCTAGCTTCCTTTTCTGCTGAAAACCGGATGTGGGAACATCGCTCAGAGCAGTACGTTTCTCTATGCCCACTCCACTCCCCAACCTCTTGCCAGGATTCTACCTCAGTTGTTCTGAACGATGTTAAAGAATACTAATGCAAAAAAGAGGATGATAATATAATAAGAGTAACTTGGTTTTAATGTCCTGCAGAGCTGGCCTGTGTGTTCGATGAAGCATTGAAAGCACTAGTTGGAAACCTGAAGTTACCATGACGACCTCTCCCAGAACTGGTTCAGAAAGCTGTATGTTCTATGTGGTAGGGTTATTTTAAAGTATAACACAGTGTAAAAGACTTTGGGGTCCCCTAGGAAAGCATGCCTCCTACTGGCCCTCCTGTTATATAGCAGTGCCTTGGCAAGGGGTAGAGACTCGCGGCTGTATCTGGATGGAGCTATCTTTTCCGGACCCAACACAGAACACACCCAGACTAGACAACCTTAAGAAATGTGAGCTTGGTGAGCACCGCCACTGCATCGTTCCGGTCCATCTCTCTCAGGTGCCTGGCCAGGTGTCCTACAGTCCACTCTGGATGCTTGGTGGTGACCCCCTCCAGCACGGCCCTCAGGGGGCTCTTGCTGTCCCTCAGGGAGAAGGTGTAGGTGATCCAGGTGGAGGGGAAGGAGCAGCGAGATGCTAGGTGGCTGGTGTTCTTCACCCCAGGGCTCTCCGGGTCCAGCAGAATCACAAGCTCCTCTAGAACATCCAAGTTGTCCAGAACCATCTGCAGTGGTGCCCACTGGAGGTCAGGACCTGGTGAGACAAGGGGAAATATCACAAAGGTTGAGTTACGCGTCTGTAATGCTGACTTGTGTCAATCCAGAGCCAAATGCGTAAATCATGTATTAATGGGTCGTTCCACGAAATGAGTCCCCTTTGGGTAGTGTAACCTGGTGAAGAAAAACCTGATTTCACCTAATTTTAACATTCTGTCATGAAGAGCACACGGTCAACTTAATAAAAAACATGTTTTCCCATCTCAAGAGGTTAAATAAAATAATTACTATATTAAGTGCCAAATAAAGTAACGGGTTGACTGTATCAGGGTTGACTAACAGGTTTGACGATTTCATCTGGAAGCTGTTTAGAAGCCTCTTGGACCTAGACTTGAACAATTTTCTGTCCTGCTAAGCATTCAAAATGTAACGAGTACTTTTGGGTGTCAGGGAAAATGTATGGAGTAAAAAGTACATTATTTTCTTTAGGAATGTAGTAAAGTAAAAGTTGTCAAAAACATAAATAGTAAAGTACAGATACCCCCAAAAACTACTTAAGTAGTACTTCAAAGTATTTTTTACTTAAGTACTTTACACCACTGGTTATGCTCGACCCACTTAGTTTTCCACCTTATAACACCAGAAAATTGCCAAAAAGAGTAGAACCAGCTCACCTGCTTTTACACTTTGCTTTTATCATACTATCCAGGTCTGTGCCCAAACAGTTTGAGCTTCTACTTCTAAAAATCCACCTTTCCAGAAATAAGTCTCTCACTGTTGCCGCTTGCTACAGACCCCCCTCAGCCCCCAGCTGTGCCCTGGACACCATATGTGAATTGATTGCCCCCCATTTATCCTCAGAGTTCGTACTGCTTGGTGACCTAAATTGGGATATGCTTAACACCCCGGCCATCCTACAATCCAAACTAGATGCCCTCAATCTCACACAAATTATCAACGAACCTACCAGGTACAACCCTAAATCCGTAAACATGGGTACCCTCATAGATATCATCCTGACTAACTTACCCTCTAAATACACCTCCGCTGTCTTCAACCAGGATCTCAGCGATCACTGCCTTATTGCCTGTGTCCGTAACGGGTCTGCGGTCAAACGACCACCCCTCATCACTGTCAAACGCTCCCTAAAACACTTTAGCGAGCAGGCCTTCCTAATTGACCTGGCCCAGGTATCCTGGATGGATATAGATCTCATTCCGTCAGTAGAGGATGCCTGGTTGTTCTTTAAAAGTAATTTCCTCTCAATCTTAAATAAACATGCCCCATTCAAAAAATACAGAACTAAGAACAGATATAGCCCCTGGTTCTCCTCAGACTTGACTGCCCTTGACCAGCACAAAAACATCCTGTGGCGTACTGCATTAGCATCAAATAGCCCCCGCGATATGCAACTTTTCAGGGAAGTTAGGAACCAATATACACAAGCAGTCAGGAAAGCAAAGGCTAACTTTTTCAAACAGAAATTTGCATCCTGTAGCACTAACTCCAAAAAGTTTTGGGACACTGTAAAGTCCATGGAGAATAAGAGCACTTCCTCCCAGCTGCCCACTGCACTGAGGCTAGGAAACACTATCACCACCGATAAATCTACAATAATCGATAATTTCAACAAGCATTTTGCTACGGCTGGCCATGCTTTCCACCTGGCTACCACTACCCCGGCCACCAACTCTGCACCCTCCGCTGCAACTTGCCCATGCCCCCCCCGCTTTTCCTTCACACAAATTCAGACAGCTGATGTTCTGAAAGAGCTGCAAAATCTGGACCCCTACAAATCAGCTGGGCTAGACAATCTGGACCCTTTCTTTCTAAAACTAGCCGCCGAAATTGTCGCAACCCCTATTACTAGCCTGTTCAACCTCTCTTTCGTAACATCTGAGATCCCCAGAGATTGGAAAGCTGCTGCGGTCATCCCCCTCTTCAAAGGGGGTGACACTCTAGATCCAAACTGTTACAGACCTATATCCATCCTGCCCTGCCTTTCGAAAGTATTTGAAAGCCAAGTTAACAAACAGATCACCGACCATTTCGAATCCCACTGTACCTTCTCCGCTATGCAATCCGGTTTCCGAGCTGGTCATGGGTGCACTTCAGCCACGCTCAAGGTCCTAAACGATATTATAACCGCGATCGATAATAGACAGTACTGTGCAGCCGTCTTCATCGACCTGGCCAAGGCTTTCGACTCTGTCAACCACCGCATTCTTATTGGCAGACTAAATAGCCTTGGTTTCTCAAATGACTGCCTCGCCTGGTTCACCAACTACTTCTCAGATAGAGTTCAATGTGTCAAATCGGAGGGCCTGTTGTCTGGACCTATGGCATTCTCTATGGGGGTGCCACAGGGTTCAATTCTTGGGCCGACTCTTTTCTCTGTGTATATCAATGATGTCGCTCTTGCTGCTGGTGACTCTCAGATCCACCTCTACGCAGACGACACCATTTTGTATACATCTGGCCCTTCATTGGACACTGTGTTAACAAACCTCCAAACGAGCTTCAATGCCATACAACACTCCTTCAGTAGCCTCCAACTGCTCTTAAACACTAGTAAAACGAAATGCATGCTCTTCAATCGAACGCTGCTGGCACCCGCCCACCCGACTAGAATCACCACTCTCGACGGGTCTGACCTAGAGTATGTGGACAACTACAAATACCTAGGTGTCTGGTTAGACTGTAAACTCTCCTTCCAGACTCACATTAAGAATCTCCAATCCAAAGTTAAATCTAGAATCGGCTTCCTATTTCGCAACAAAGCCTCCTTCACTCATGCTGCCAAACATGCCCTCGTAAAACTGACTATCCTACCGATCCTTGACTTCGGCGATGTCATTTACAAAATAGCCTCCAACACTCTACTCAGCAAATTGGATGTAGTCTATCACAGTGCCATCCGTTTTGTCACCAAAGCCCCATACACTACCCACCACTGTGACCTGTACGCTCTTGTTGGCTGGTCCTCACTACATGTTCGTCATCAAACCCACTGGCTCCAGGCCATCTATAAATCACTGCTAGGCAAATCCCCGCCTTATCTTAGCTCATTGGTCACCATAGCAGCACCCACCCGTAGTCTGCGCTCCAGCAGGTATATCTCACTGGTCATTCCCAAAGCCAACACCTCCTTTGGCCGCCATTCCTTCCAGTTCTCTGCTGCCAATGACTGGAACGAATTCCAAAAATCTCTGAAGCTGGAGACTCTTATCTCCCTCACTAACTTTAAGCATCAGTTGTCAGAGCACCTTACCGATCACTGCACCTGTACACAGCCCATCTAAAATTAGCCCACCCAACTACCTCATCCCTATATTGTTATTTATTTTGCTCTTTTGCACCCCAGTATCTCTATTTGCACATAATCTCTTGCACATCTAGCATTCCAGTGTTAATACTAATTGTAATTATTTTGCACTATAGCCTATTTATTGCCTTCCCTCCATAACTTGCTACATTTGCACACACTGTATATATATTTTCTGTTGTATTTTTTGACTTTATGTTTTTTTACCCCATATGTAACTCTGTGTTGTTGTTTTTATCGCACTGCTTTGCTTTATCTTGGCCAGGTCGCAGTTGTAAATGAGAACTTGTTCTCAACTGGCTTACCTGGTTAAATAAAGGTGAAATAAAAAATAAAATAAAAATGATTTGACTATTAGATGTTCATTGTTTCTTTTGAAAACATTTTTTTTAAGGAATAGTTTGAAGTCTTTATTCAATTGAAAGATCTGATTTCTTGAATTATCCATGTGGTCTATATTAAAGGGCACTTCATTTAATATAACAGGCTTAAAGTTAAAAATAGGGCACAATTTCTACTTAAAATATAAACGAGACACAAAAGAGACCCATTTTGTGGAACCACCCAAATGTCAATTTGTGCTGAAATTCGAGTTGCGTGCTAAAACCTTGAGCCTTTTTGCAACTTATGGAACAGTAGTGATGTAGAGGTACTAGTAATACCAATGAACAGCAGACTGGTAGTTCTATTAGTAATAGCACTTGATAACTCACTCAAAAGGTCCTCTAGGCTCCTGGTCTCTGACTGTAGGAGAGAAACCTCTGCTCTCTTACTGCTCCGTGACTGTTGGTTGGTATACAGGATATTGTCTGATGGGAGGCAGTCTTTAAGGCTGACCTTGAAGCACAGCGTATTCTCCTTATCTGTGTCAAACCACAACCATTCAAAAACAGGACAGGAAAAAAGTTAATGGAAGAGTTAAAGCGGTTTTAAGCAAACATGTCAAACCAGATGGTCTGTCATGAGCATGACTGTCTGACTTTTTTAAATTCTCCCTAATGCTCATCATTCTGCTCACCTCTGATGCAAAAGGCTCTTGATCTTCTCCTTCTCTTCTTAATATAGATGAATAAGAGAAATGCAAGTACAGAGAAAACCAAGATGACAGTAAGCACTATCCCTGAAAGAACACAGAGGACCGTGGCAATGAGTAGTTAAAGACATATTCAGCAGTATCCTAACAAAGGCAGTTCAGTCATCTTTTTGAACGGTGAAGAACTGGTATTATCAAAGTTAGTACCTTCTAAAATGACTTTTAAAATGGCTCAGATTTGGGGGTTGGGTTGTAACTTACATGCAGTCTGATGGTTGACATGTGAATCACCAGGTAATCTCAGATCAATGTGTTTGGCTGTGGTGGGATTTGATGTTGACACTTGGACCCTTAACGTTGTTGACCGTTGGACCTGTTGAGTCTGAAATTGATGTGAAGTCAACATATTAACTCTGTAATTCCTAATTTAATACGTTTGTTTTGTTTGCTCATTGCCCTATTGGGAAGACATTGACCAAAATTGACAACATTTGTGAATACATAGCTTCCCTGGGTCACTGTTGTTGATGTAGTTTGGGTCTACAGAAGAATAACAGCCATGATAAATTTGAGAGTGGTCTTCACAAAGACTACCACACAAATGCTCATAATTAAATAGCATAATCAGCTTCATCATCATAGATTAAACTCACCGTTGGACTCAGGGCTCCTTTCCAACAGCCCGTCTGGTCCCTAGACATAGGGTTTACAGTTAAACATGTTACTCAAACAACCAAGCAACCATAGTTTCAAGACCAGATTGAAAACAAACGGGCATCCTTTATTTTCCTATCAAGATATTAAGTTACCCTATCCCAGACGGAATTTGCGCTCTCCTCTCAACCTCGCTCCACAGCATTGCGTGTCTGTCGTTGCGTTGCATTCTGACAGCTTTTGATGGATTGGAGGGCAGCTAGAACAGGGTTGGCATTTCACAAAGCTCCCGTTATTGAAGGTCAGTGCGGCACACGGTCGATACGGTGGTTCCGGTCTTCCCCCATCATCTTGCCTGCCACAGTTTGGACTAAATTCGTACCCTGGTCGAAAACAAGATTTGTTTGTAGACTACAACTGCGCGCTGTACACGGAAAAACGTAGCAACATCGAAACTTGATTTCAAATAAAGATTATCTTTGCAGCATATCGAGCTCACCTGGTTGAAACGGATGTTGTGGATGTTGATGACATGGCACACATTTATTTATGAATTCATCCCAAAATGTATCCAAGTCATCAGAGCAATTATTAGAATAGTGGCCCATTTCGTTAAGAGATGTATAGAATAGACTAGGTAGGCTACAGTGCTATTTGCTAGTAAAATAAAAGTTGCTGAATGCGGGTTCGGCGTTATGAGCGGGCCTTGTGGGAGCCGGGCCCGCCCTACCGTACCATCCAAATAAAATATTGCAATATTGAGATCATTTATTTGACTGACATGCACGCCGACAGTTAAAGCATCCGAGCAAGCGAAACAGCTCCCCTCTGTCTCAGTATGTGTAGACCATGTATCTGATTCTGTACAGCTGGATGTACAGCTTATAGAGTTACATGTTGTATTTTTGACCATGAATCAGATAAATATTTAGAAAAGCGAAGGATGATGAGTAGCTGTTTTTTATGTTGAGTGAATACTTTGGTTCCACAGGACTGTAGAGGGGCTGTGCCATGTAATTACTGTTGCACAATATCACATTTATCTAAACCACGTTAATTATAATCATGTGTTGTTGTTTTCTGGACACTGACAGATAATCATTGCATTTACCTCTAAAAGCCTAAGCCGCAAAAATATGGACATGTTTTTGATTTTGAATTTTGAACCCCTTTAGGTATAAAAACAATATATATAAAAACTGTATTTGATAAAATATTGAATTTGGCCTTTACTACTATAGCCCATAGAAACGCATTGAATAACAAATTCATAAATGGCAAAAAAGACAGCCCAAAAATAAATCATAAGGAATAAGGTTTTGAAGTGTCTGTCCTATATCTAGGACATATAAGAAAGCTCAGGAAATATATATATATTTTTACTCATATTTAACCCCTTATTTTTGTTAGCACAAAACTACCTCCATACGTCCATTCATTTGAATGGGTTACCTTCAGACAATTGTGGGGTCAAAGAGCAAAGCGTGTTCATGAGAATTTCCCCTTTCCATAGAGTGGTCATATTAGTTTTGTAGGCCAAACCATTCGGACGCTAAAGACGTTTTCGTGAGAAGACCGATTTTCGTGATGTCTCATGGTCTGACAAACACCACGGTAGCTTGTCCACCTCCCATCACAGATGCCCAAGGCGATTTAGGCAGATGTGGTTGTTGGAGACGCAGCCCATGCAAAAAAAACAGATATCTCTAGTTTAAACTGACTGATTTTGATTGATTGCGTCAATAGACTCTTAAGGAGCAGTGGTTACAAAGAGACTGGTTATTATGAGCAACATTAAGTAATAGATGCAGGTTTTGGCTCATAGGGACCTCTTGTGGCAGAATATGGTCATTGGAAAAATGTAGTTCAAATGATGTATAACTTTATTAAGTTCAGTGGCTAGGCATTGCCTTGGAGGGCTATGCAGTAGAAACTATTCAGTAGTTTATTTGCTAAAATTTCCAGATACAGTGACTGGACTGACTGTATTCCTCTCCCAGGTATGACCTGCCAAGCGAAGACCTCCTACATAGAGACAGAGATAGAGTGGGGGGCTCGTTTTGAGCCATGCATGACCCTGGAGAAGGGCTCCTTCCGGGTGGACCTGCGTCGGTTCCACTCCACCCCACTGCAGTGCCTGCGAGACCCAGCAGCTTAACGTCCTGGTGGAGTGTGCGCTCTACGCACCCTCCAAGGCCAGCGGAGACTGGGAGAACTGTGTTGACGGGCGGAGAGGGAGAGGAAGAGGGAGGAGAAGGAGAAGCGGCCGTCGAACCATAGACAACATCCAAGAAGAACCGGTGTCTGAAGTGAACGAGTGTGACGGGAGCTAGGATCAGATCATTGCTCTGTGATATCAGGTGCTCTCAGGCTTCCACATGAACTGATTATAATCAACTAAGCTATTTTAAATGAAAATAATAAGTCACTGTAATTTTAAATGTAGAACATTCGTGTAATTGTTCAATCCTATTCATTTAATACTGACCGTGGCGTTGATTGTTTAAAGTGCTGCCTTATTGAATGCTGCTTTTCAGATAGTTTGTAAATGATTGAGGATTGCTTAGACCAGATGAATGACATGTTAGATATTGTTTAATAATGAGATTATGGTTTTATGTAAAAAGCACTCTAAGTAAAATGGTATAACACTGACACAGACAACCTGTCAAAATAAAGATGCATTTATTTAAAACATTTATTCTCTGGGGAGATAAAAATTGCAAATACACTCTGAATGCCAGCTGCTGTGTAATTTATGCCAAAACGCATTCATACTCAAGTTCAGAGCAAATCAGTGGTCTCATATCATAAATGTTTGACAGGCTACTGTTTCTTAGTTGTTGGGTGTGACTGTGTGAGGATCTACATTCAATACAAAAACAGGCCATTTGCCAAATGAGTACATTGATTATATCAATACTATCATTAAAATAGCAGCAGGCTAAATCAAATAATCCTGAGTGGCGCAGTGGTCTAAGGCACTGCATCACAGTGCTAACTGTGTCACTAGAGATCCTGGTTCGAATCCAGGCTCTGTCGCAGCCGGCCGCGACCGGGAGTCTGATGGGCGGCGCACAATTGGCCTAGCGTCGTCCAGGGTAGGGGAGGGAATGGCCGGCAGGGATGTAGCTCAGTTGATAGAGCATGGCGTTTGCAACGCCAGGGTTGTGGGTTCGTTTCCCACGGGGGGCCAGTAAAAAAAAAAAAATTATTCACTAAATGTAAGTCGCTCTGGATAAGAGCGTCTGCTAAATGACTAAAATGTAAACGTAAATATATAGAGCCTATAGAAAGTGTACACCCCCTTTGGATTTCTTCAAATTGTATTGTGTTACAAAGTGGGATTAAAATGGATTTAATTGTCATTGTTTTGGTCAACGGCCTCCACAAAATACTATGTAATATCAAAGTGGAGTCAATACATGTTAGAAACACCTTTGGCAGCGATTACAGGTGTGAGTCTACTTGGGTAAGTCTCATAAGAGCTTTGCACAACTTTTTTGTGAAATATTTGCCCATTATTCTTTTCAAAATTCTTCAAGATATGTCAATGTGTTGGGGATCATGGCTAGACAGCAATGTTCAAGTCTTGCCACATATTTCCAGGCAGATTTAAGTCAAAACTTGTCCAACATTCACTATCTTCTTGGTAAACAACGTTGTGTTCTAGGTTATTGTCCTGCTGGAAGGTGAATTCCTCTCCCAGTGTCTGGTGTAAAGCAGACTGAAGCAGGTTTTCCTCTAGGATTTTGCCTGTGCTTAGCTCCATCTGTTTCTTTTCATCCTGAATAATGTCAAGCATACCCATACCATGATGCAGCACCACCATGCTCGAAAATAAGGAGGCAGTTACTCAGTGATGTGTTGTGTTGGATTTGCTCCAAACATAAGGCTTTGCATTTAGGCCAAAAAGTGTATTCCTTTGCAGTGTTTCTGTTGTTGTTGCAGTATTACTTTAGTGCCTTTATGTATGTTTTGGATTATTTGTATTCTTCTTTTCACTCTGTCATTTAGGTAGTTATTGTGGAGTCACTACAATGTTGTTGATCCATCCCCTTTTCTCCATCACAGCCATTGAACTCTGTAGCTGTTTTAAATTCATCAATGGCCTCATAATAACATCCCTAAGCAGTTTCCGTAATGTCCTGCAGCTCAGTTCAGAAGGACAACTGCATCTTTGATGTGTCTGGGTGGTTTAATACATAATCAACAGCATAATTAATAATTTGACCATGCTTAAAGACATATTCATTGTCTGATTTGTTATTGTTACCCATCTACCAATCACTGGCCTTCTTTATGAGGATTTCGAAAAGTTCCCTGGTCTTTGTAGTTGAATCTGTGCTTGAGATTCAATACTTCAAGTGGGATCTTACATATGTTGTATGTACTTCAAGTGGGACCTTACATATGTTGTATGTATGTGGGACAGAGGAAGGGGTAGTTATACAAAAATCTTGTCAACCCCTATTATTTAACACAGAGTGAGTCCGTTTGTGATTTGTTAAGCCAAATTGTACTTCTGAACTCATTTAGGCTTGCCTAAGCAAAGCAGTTGAGTACTTCTGCAGGTACTATATTTTAGTTATTTAATTGTTATTAATTTGTAATAATGTGTCGAATTTTCTTTTCACTTTTCCAGGAGGTGCAGACTCTATAGGCACTGTAAATCTGAATCAAACAACATCTAAATGTACTAAACACATATGGTTAAATGAAAATCAAAATTTTGCGTACAAAAAGATTGCTCCAAGTCTTCTTGAGAGAGATAACGGCCAGACATAGACGGAAACATTCATATGAAACATGGGCAAATTTTTTGCTGCCTCTAAATAGTCTCGATGTTTCCTTTCCTTGTCTCTTGGAAGTGACTGACTTTTCAGCTGCAGCCATGATGGAATGGGAATAATACTGTGCTTGATAATGATAATGCTGCTGGTGCTAGACATGTTTTACATTCTTTTCTGAGACCCAGTCTCCCTCTAGTGGTGGAAATATGTATTGATGTACTCCATGCACTTTTGGAGTACATGGATAAATGTTACATGTTACCATGTATGTACATTACATTCTATGAGTTGAAGTGAAAAAGTGTTTCTGAGATAGTTTCCCTGAGATGTAGTTGTTCGGTAGTAAAACTACTCTATTGACATTATATTTGCCTGAGCTAGCTCACGTATGGCATGTGTACAGGTAGGTGCTGCTGATGGTCCAGTCTGGGGGAAAGTCCTGCAGCGTATGGTTCTTCAGGTGTTTCTGCATGGCAGCCAGGCTGCTACAGAACTCCAGGCAGGCAGTACACTGGTAGGGTGTGGCCCCGCCGTGGGTCCGCAGGTGCTTGATCATGGCTGAGTAGTCCCTCGACCGCTGGCCACACAGACGGCACTCAAACGGCTTCTCTCCTGGGGTTGACATTGAGAGTGAGCAGGCAAGCACATACACAATGACTGACACATTGAAACACACACACACACACACACACACACACACACACACACACACACACACACACACACACACACACACACACACACACACACACCAGCAGTATGAGGGGGATATAATACCTGTGTGTACCCGGTGGTGTGTATCCAGTTGGTGTTTG